GATTTGATTTGATTTGTTTTTATTTCAAGGCTGTGCCAAGAGAGAAACATCATACACATACTACATACATGTTAGAAATCAGAGGTGGGACTTGGATTCAAGTCAGACTTGAGTCACTATTTTTAGGACTTGAGACTTGACTTGATAAAAAAGACAATGACTTGGGACTCGACTTGGACTTGAAGGTCAGTGACTTGGGACTTGACTTGAACCCTGTGACTTGAAACGACTTGATGCTTAGACTAGTTAACAAATGAACATTATAACATAGATCAGAAAACAGTGTAATATTAGACCTTTAAGGTTAAATTAAGTTTGCTGTGTACGGTCTGCGTCTAATTAGAAAGTTTATCTGAAAATCAAGTGCACGTTAGCATGCTAGCTGTTGTTAAATGTCATGAAAAGCTCTAAAAATTTCTTGTAAAAACATCAGTAGAAGATGGTAAATGGTCATGATTGAAGCTGCATTATGTGACTTTTCTGTTTGAGGGCCCATCATCTGCTCGCCTCCATGGAGATCTTATTGCTTTCCCACATCAGGTGACGTTATCAGGCCAGGTTACAGGTCAGATCTGTGGAGAGAAAACCCCATTCATAGTAAGAATGCATGTTTTTTGAGGTATTTGTGAGCAATAAAAAAGTAATTTAAAGTTTAACATTCCGGGCAAAGCAATAACATCTCCACGGCAACAAAAAGACCCACTACCAGGAAAGTTACATAGTGCGCCTTTAGGTCTCATCTTAAAACAAAATCCTCTGAATGGGAAAAGGTTCTCCAAATGGTTGCATATAACAGGAAGCTGAAACCCGAACAGATGTGGCTTTTTGTTTTTCTTGTTGACAAAGCTTGTAGTCATAGAAACACAGACTAACTCCTGATGGGTGATTCAAAAGTCTAAATGAAGTCTATTAGAGTCAGTTGGTTTTATTCTAATGACGAATGAACAGTGCTGAGGTAAGTGTCTGAACGCCCTTGAATAGTGAAGCTCCAAATCTGAATAAATGAACACGACCTCTGCAGCCAGAATCAAGTCTATTAGGTTTAAATCTGATAAAGCTTTAGTTACACTGTAAGAACCACAGCACCGGGGCAAGGTCAAAGATGACGACTTACTCTGCTCCTGCTCTGCTCCTGCTCTACTCCTGCTTTAGTCCTGGTTTAGTCCTGATCGAGGCTTGGTTTGGTCCTGTTCGAGACTTTGTTTGGTCCTGGTTTAGTCCTGTTATAGACTTGATTTAGTCCTGATTTAGTCCTGGTTTAGTCCTGGTTTAGTGCTGATGGAGGACTTACTGGTTTAGACTTGGATTTAGTCCTGGTTAATCCTGATTTGGTCCTGGTTTGGTGCTGGTTGGTCCAGGTTTGGTTCTAGTTTGGTCCTGGTTTAGTCCCTGTTTAGTCCTGAAACAGACGTGGTTTAATACTGTCTTAGTCCTGGTTTGGTCTTGATTTAGTCCTATTGTAGACATGGTTTAGTCCTGGTTTAGTCCTGATGTAGACTTGGGTTAGTCCTGGTATAGTCCTGATGTAGACTTGGTTTGGTCCTGGTATAGTCATGGTTTAGACCCGAGGCCTGGTTTGGTCATGGTTTGGCTCTGATTTAGTCCTGGTTTGGTCTGGTTTGGTCCTAAAGCAGACTTGGTTTAGTCCTGGTTAATCCTGATTTGGTCCTGGTTTGGTGCTGGTTGGTCCAGGTTTGGTTCTAGTTTGGTCCTGGTTTAGTCCCTGTTTAGTCCTGAAACAGACGTGGTTTAATACTGTCTTAGTCCTGGTTTGGTCTTGATTTAGTCCTATTGTAGACATGGTTTAGTCCTGGTTTAGTCCTGATGTAGACTTGGGTTAGTCCTGGTTTAGTCCTGATGTAGACTTGGTTTAGCCCTGGGTTAGTCCTAGTTTAGTCCTCGTTTAGTCCTGGTTTGGTCCTGGTTTAATCCTGACATAGGCTAGGATTGGTCCTGTTTTAGTTTTGGTTTAGTCCTGGTTTAGTCCTGGTTTGGCCCTGGTTTAGTCCTGGTTTAGTCCTGGTTTAGTCCTGGTTTAGTCCTGGTTTGGTCCTGGTTTAGTCTTGGCTTAGTCCTTGTTTAGTCCTGATTTGGTCCTGGTTTAATTCTGATGTTGACTTGGTTTAGCCCTGTTTTGACTTAACACAAAGATGTAAACTTCTGACCATTGCCATAGTGATAAACAATAATATTATATCTTTTGAATGTCTATAGCAGGAAGCTGAATGACCGTGAACAGCACACTTCCACTGCTCTTCTAAACCTCCACAACCCTACATTTCACATTCTGTTTGCAAACATCAAAACTAATTACAGATTTTATTCACGAGTACACCATGGAGTATTGATTTAGTTGTTTACAGAAAAAATTATAAGACAAAAAAATAACTGCTACCATACAAATGAGGGTTTCAATTGACAATTATTTTTGCAGTCGAGACACATCCTGACTCGGCTCTTCTCCATAACTGTTCTTTATAGTAACACATTATGCTGCAGTGTAAATGAAGTGTCAGAGAGGTGAAGAGACCAGAGGCTGTATTTCTGCCGTATGGAACGCTGGAAGAATCAATATTACGCTGGTTTATAAACTATACAGGCAGAATTATCTATTATCTGTGCTCACTGCTGGACTGCCAATATTATAGATGCAGGCTGTGGAAAGAGGAGGAGGAAAGAGCGTTTGTAGTACCGTATTTTTCAGACTATAAGGTCCACCGGATTATAAATTGCAATATCAGTAATGTTGAATTCTCTCGTCTATTTTCATACATAAGATGCACCGGATTATAAGGAGCATAAAGCGAAACAAACGGACGACACTTGAGACTGATCCTTAGCCCAGGCGTCCACGATCCATTGGCAGATCGTGGTGTAATTCGTCCCGCGTTTGTTTTTTTTAATTTCTTACCAGGATGACTCAAATATACATTGAGTAATAATGTGTTTAATGCAGCTTTGACACATTTGTTTACATTTTACAGAAACAAAACTTAACTCTTTCCCCCATGAAGACTACATTTGACGACCCTCCCTTGTTTCCTTAATGATGTCTTTTGACACCTCCGCCGTCTCACTAAAGACGGGATTTGACGACCATTACAAATGGCTCGGTTTTTCACATGTAATCAGAGGCTGTGATAGGTGGGGGCCACTACAACCCATACATACTAATATATGTATGGGTTGTTCCAAGTAGGCGTCCAAGGGGGAAAGAGTTAAAGCCACATGACTCATTTGAATAAATTATAAGCGTTGAAAAAAACAGCTCGCTGCTTGTGCTGCTGATGCCGTCACCTTCTGTTTGACTAAAGTAGTGGTCCCCAACCTTTTGTGCATCACAGACCGGTGGTTAAGTCTTGGCTAAAAACTGTTTTAGACCTGTTTTTAGACCTGGTTTAGCCCTGGTTTAGACCTGGTTAAGACCTGGTTTAGACCTGATTTAGTCTATTTTTAGATCTGGTTAAGTCCTGGTTTAGTTCTGGTTTAGAGGAGCGGCTTGTCCGGCGTATGGGAGGGGGGTGGTCCCCAACCCCTCCTACCGGTGGGGGCAGGACGACAGCGCCATCTGCAGTCCGACTTCCTCAAGACAGTATCCCAGGTGTGTGAGAGTAAAAGCCCCCTCATCCCTGTTTATAGCGCCAAAACCTGTTTAAATCAGCTGACCGGACACGTCACAGTAACATCACGTGACCACTCTGAGGAAGAGCGCTAGTGAGCAGTCGAAACTGTCAGGTATGAAAACAAACCTATGGTGTGAAAAAAGAACCTAATAACATAAGGAGATGGTTCATATTCAATTTTTCAGAGATTATAAATCTCCAGGTCATAAACATAGACCGTATATATGAATGGACATATATTCTCTGTAGCATTTTACTGATGTCATAAATGCCAACGCAGAACTATACTTTGCCCTTTACTCCGCGAGGCTCCTGACTACAGTAGCCATAATGTTCCAACAATCCATCAGACGGTGCAGCTTCATAGTTACCAAAGTCATAATAAAGCATTTTTGACAAAGTCCTGAGGTAGACCTGGTGTGGTTCTGTTTCAGTCCTATTTTAGTCTTGAAGTAGACTTGGTGTGGTTCTGTTTCAGTCCTGTTTTAGTCTTAAAGTAGACTTGGTTTGGTTCTGTTTCAGTCCTGTTTTAGTCTTGAAGTAGACTTGGTTTGGTTCTGGTTTAGTCCTGTTTTAGTCTTGAAGTTGACTTGGTTTGGTTCTGGTTTAGTCCTGATTTAGTCTTGAAGTAGACTTGGTTTGGTTCTGGTTTAGTCCTGATTTAGTCCTGGTTTAATCTTGAAGTAGACTTGGTTAGGTCCTGGTTTGGTCATAGTTTGGTCCTGTTTGAGTCTTGGAGTAGAGTTGATTTGGTCCTGGTTTGGTTCTCGTTTAGTCCTGGTTTAGTCCTAGTTTAGTCCTGAAGTAGACTTGGTTAGGTCCTAATTTGGTCCTGGTTTGGTCCTGGTTGAGTCGTGGGGTAGAGTTGGTTTGGTCCCGGTTTGGTTCTTGTTTAGTCCTGGTTTAGTCCTGAAGTAGACTTGGTTAGGTCCTAGTTTGGTCCTGGTTTGGTCCTGGTTGAGTCATGGGGTAGAGTTGGTTTGGTCCCAGTTTGGTTCTTGTTTAGTCCTGGTTTAGTCCTGAAGTGGACTTGGCTAGGTCATGGTTTGGTCCTGGTTTGGTCCTAGTCTGGTCTTGGTTCAGTCCTGGTTTAGTCCTAAAGTAGACTTGGTTAGGTCCTGGTTTGGTCCTAGTTTGGTCCTGGTTTAGTCCTGAAGTAGAATTGGTTTTGTTCTGTTTTAATCATGGTTTAGTTTTGAAGTCGACTTGGTTTGGTTCTGGTTCAGTCCTGGTTTAGTCCTGGTTTAGTCCTGGTTTACTCCTGAAGTAGAGCTGCTATTTTTTTACTTGACAACATTTGACTTCATGCTGATTTTCTAATGACCAAACTCTCGTACATTTTGCGGTGTTCTGACAGTTTTGCCTTGTGTTTTTCAGCTGCCTGCACCAGTAGTCAAGAATGGACCATGGCCCCCGCTGTGCTGCCTTTGCAAGAACTCCACCTGGTATGAGTTTTCTATTCAAATGCGTTCTGACGGTTTAATAATAATCATCATTTTAAAGTGAATTCCTTTTTCCTGTGTGTGTGTCTGTAGGGGGTTTTGGGGAGTTTGTGCAGCGGTAAAACGGCTCTGGTTCATCGACACATGACGGGGAGTTACCTGCCCGTGGAGAACGCTGAAGGTCAGAAGAATATAGCAAATTTTTTAATCTAACTTTACATTCCTCCTCACAAACAGACCTGGAGTTGTGTTTTGTTTCATTCACACGTTTACCCCTTCAAAACCTAAAGGCAGTTTTAGTACATTTGTCCTCGCCTGGATTTTGGCAATGGCCTCCTGACTTTCCTGGTGCCAGTCATGGAAACAGCTGGTGTCAGGTCCAGGGCACAGAGCCACATCACTTCCTGCATTTCCATGGTGTTTATTACATTTAGATTTGTACTATTGGACTGAAATAAAACTTTCAAATAAAAATAGCAAGACATGCACAATTACATAGACCAAGATGCATCATTTGCCATTTATTTGAGAAATAACTGCACTTAGAGCGCTGTATGGCTGGATGAATGGTTCTTTGGGGGTAAAACCCTAAACCAGGACTAAACCAGGACTTGAGAGACAGAGAGGGAGAACCCCGAGCCCTGGGAGCACGGTGTCCACAAAGCGCGTTCAGGTGACTGCTCCGCTTTGCCTTGTGAGGTGAGGAGCTCTGTGCCTGTCCTTTTGCCCACGGTCACCCAACGGTCTACGCGGGCGCACCTCCAGGCCCGACACTCAGTCCTGGTTCAGTTCTGGTTTAATTCTGGTTTAGTCCTGGTTCAGTTCTGGTTTATGCCTCTTTTAGTCCTGGTTTAGACCTGGTTTATTTATTTTATGTTCAACTGCAGCCAAATATGCACAAATTTCTATCCTATACACACAAATATTTCTGAAAGCTTTCATACTCCAGATTGGCAATGTGAGTGTTTTGCACAATGCAAGAAAAATAAAGTTTTGGTTACATTTGAATGCAAAACAGTAGCATGTAGAACTTTGTACGCAATTGACTGCACATCAGCCCGGAGCAAAAGCACTGAGTTCAGGCAACAGCGAAAAGACAAGGGAGCACTCACCATAGCACGCAGACCCGGGGGTGTGGTCCTTGGACTTGTGTCATCCTCCGAGCGCGTTGGTCAGATAGCTCCGGAGTCTCCATCCTCCATGTGCTAGTTCCAGAGGGCCAGAGTAAGACCAGTGCGCAGTGGACTGGGTCCAAGCGGGTTCGTGCCGTCCTCTGCACACTGGATCCATACGGCAAAATCGAGGATGCTCTGTGGACTACAGGTCTGGGCAGACTGCTCCTGTCCTCCTGCGGCTGGACAGAAGCATCCGGACAGAAGTGCAAATCCGGGTTGGTTTGTTATATGTTGTTCTGAGCGGTTCGTCCTCTGTGCTCTTGCTCTGATCTTTTGAACACGTAAGAGTCTCAGAGCGAGTGGTTCTACTGTAGACAGGAAACAGCTGACGCGCTCATGTGTCAGAGTCCGACCCGAACCCGACAGACTTCGGTTGGGTTTCCATGCTCTACTTATACTGTGCATATTCAGGATGCTGTCCATGGTGCTAAATGCAGCAGATAGATAGGTAGGTAGGTAGCATGGCAGGTAGATAGATAGTTAGTTAGATACATAGTTAAATAGATAGATAGACAGATAGATAGATAGATAGATAGATAGATAGATAGATAGATATAGATATGCACAGTGTGTAGGGCACCAAGTGCTTGAGGGGGCACTATGTGAATCCTCGCAAAACTACTGTCTGTTACTGGCGTCTTTGGAATCACCCCCAGTCCCTGTGTCACTGGCACTGATCCCTCCCTCCACTCCCCCATCTGTGCATAGGGCACCCGGATGGCAAGTCACAACTCTGATAATAGGCTATCACATTAATATAATTCATGTCAGAAAAGCAGAATGTATGAAAAAATAGTAAAGTGCCCCCACTCTGACAATGAAAAGAAACAAATGTTGGAGTAGTGGGACGCTTGAAAAATAATGTTTATGCTGCTACTCCGACAACTGGCCATCAATGTCTAAATACTGGCATATCGGAATAGCAGCGTGTAACCGTTCCTTGATGTAAAATGCTTTGGGTGTGTTGAAGGTAGAAAAGCGCTGTGTAAAAATGCGACCATTTACCGTGACATCACAAAGTGAAACAGAGCATTTTGAGCTTTGGAGATGTAGACTTGGAGACAAAATAATATACCAGGATTACTTCACTTTACTGTGTGAATGAAACAAACCACAACTCCAGGTTTGTTTTGAGAAGGTAATAACATTCTAACATGACTTAAAGATCCCCAGAGTCCATCATTTAGTGTAATACAGGACTTTTGGGAGTATTTCTGAGGTGTGTGTCATTGAAGTTTGAGTAAATGTTGGTGTTTTAGGGCGTCAGTACATTAAAGACGTGCAGGTGGACGGACAGAGTCATGTTCTAATCATCAGAGAAGAGACAGAACTGCCAGGACCTCAGGTGAGGCCAACACAATACTATTACTACTACTACTACTACTACTACTACTACTACTACTACTACTACTACTACTACTACTGACTGCTACTACTACTACTACTGCTACTGCTCCTACTAATACTACTACTGCTACTGCTGCTCATACTAATACTACTACTGCTACTACTACTACTACTACTACTACTACTACCACTACTACTACTACTGCTGTTGCTGCTAATACTACTACTACTGCTCCTACTTATACTACTACTGCTGCTCCTACTACTGCTACTGCTACTACTACTACTACTATGCTACTTACTCTATACTACTAATACTACTACTGCTACTGCTGCTACTACTACTACTAATACTACTACTGCTACTACTACTACTACTGCTGCTCTACTACTACTGCTGCTACTACTACTACTACTGCTACTTCTCCTACTAATACTACTACTGCTACTGCTGCTCATACTAATACTACTACTGCTACTACTACTACTGCTGCTCCTACTACTGCTGCTACTACTACTACTACTACTGCTACTACTTTCCTACTACTAATACTACTACTACTGCTACTGCTGCTCATACTAATACTACTACTGCTACTACTACTACTACTACTACTACTACTACTACTACTACTACTACTACTACTGCTGTTGCTGCTAATACTACTACTACTGCTCCTACTTATACTACTACTGCTGCTCCTACTACTGCTGCTACTACTACTACTACTGCTACTTCTCCTACTAATACTACTACTGCTACTGCTGCTCATACTAATACTACTACTGCTACTACTACTACTGCTGCTCCTACTACTGCTGCTACTACTACTACTACTGCTACTTCTCCTACTAATACTACTACTGCTACTGCTGCTCATACTAATACTACTACTGCTACTACTACTATTACTACTGCTGCTGCTGCTCCTACTACTACTACTACTACTACTACAACTACTAATGCTGCTACAACTACTACGACTGCTCCTGCTAATACTACTACTACTACTGCTCTTACTAATACTACTACTGCTGCTCCTACTACTACTACTACTACTACTACTACTACTACTACTACTACTACTACTACTACTGCTGCTACTACTACTACTACTACTACTACTACTGCTCCTGCTGCTGCTGCTCCTACTAATATTACTACTACCACTACTACTACTAATGCTATTACCACTACTACTACTACTACTACTACTGCTACTGCTGCTGCCACTGTTACTACAATTACTACTATTACTATTACTACTACTGCTCTTGCTACTGCTACTGCTACTATTACTGCTACTACTACTATTACTACTACTACTATTACTGCTACTACTACTATTACTACTACTACTACTACTGCTACTACTACTATTACTACTACTACTGCTACTGCTACTGTTACTCCTACATCTATTACTACTGCTGCAAAAATGTCATGCATGAGATAGTTCCCTGTCTGGGGCCAACAATTTAGTTAATGATGTAAAATGTAACAGGAGTGATTCTTTTTTTTTCCAGTGCAGTTTTTGACAGTCAGAAAATGGTGTTGAAAACACTTTAAAACTGGTCCTACTTTGAGCTGGTTTGTTTACAGAGACGTACTGGAGCATATCCTGTCTGCACACACTCTGATGTGTGAGTGACACATTAATCATACACACAAACACATGGTCTGCTCTGTCAAAACAAACATGGCCGTGTGCAAGTAAAAAAACACGGAAAAAATAACGCAGATAACTGAGAAACTGCACACATTTCAGTAGAAAAAACAAGGAAACTCTGTAAACTCTAAGGTCAAAGAAGTTCTATATTTTGTTCTGAGTGATGCAAAGATATTCTTGATATAAATGTTGCTGTTGAAATTTTGTGTTTGAGAGACATGTGCTACCATACATGGATCCTGAATTTCGGACTTCTGGTCATCGTGCAATGCATACTGGGAAGGATCCTCCGAAAAAGTGAGCATCAAATTGCCATGTTTGTTTTCCCAGTGGTATACATCTATTGTCAAAGCCAATCTTTTCTACTCTTTTGAACCATATCACTTTTGTTTCTGTTTCTGATATTGTCATATTTTAGTTATGGGATTCGGACATCGTAATTTTGTGGTTGTTGGATCCTAACAGCAGAAAATGGGCTTCGGAAGTTTGCGAACTCCATAAATGCAAAAGTCAGACAGACTTGCAGTGTGTGATTGCAAACCTCTGTTCAAACTGTTTCTCTTCCCAACGGAATTGAAAAATAGTGAAAGGCGAAGGCGATGGGCAGGACTGATCCACAGGAAGGACGAAAAAGGAAACCTTTGACTGCCTAAAAAATCATCCAGAATTTGCGGTGAACATTTAGTATGTGTAATGCTGTCAAAGCAAAATCCCGATCCCTCGCTGAACCTTAGTTATGAATTTAAAAAGTCAACACCAAAGCGAAATGCACCAACTGTTCACCAAGAAGCACCTTCCACTGCAAAGAAACCAAGACGTGATGCTGCTGTAAAGTTGAACAAGAAAGTGTGAGCTCAGCCTGCTTGTCTTCTGCACCTGTCACTTAACAAACAGGATTTTGTTTGATGGCGCTCCATATACAAAATATTTGCTGCAAACTTGGGATGATTTCTTAGGCAGACAAAGGTTTCCTTTTTTGTCTTCCCTGTGTATAAATCCTGCCCATCACCTTCACCTTTCACTATTTTCCAATTCTGTTTGGAAGGGAAACAGTTTGAACGGAGGTTTCCAGTTACACAGATCTGATTCGCTTTTGCATTTATGGAGTTCGCAAACTTCCGAAGCCCGTTTTCCAACAACCACACAATTACGATGTCTGAATCCCAAAACTAAAATATGACAATATCAGAACCAGAAACAAAAGTGATATGGTTCAAAAGACTTGAAAAGATAAGATTTGACAATAAAAGCATCCCACTGGGAAATCAAACATGGTGGTTTGATGCTCACTCTTTTGGAGGATCCTTCCCAGTATAAATTGTGCGATGACTAGAAGTCTGTAACTGGACTGATAAAAGACTGTATGTATGTTAAATACTACTAATACTTGTATATTTGTTCCTTTTCAGTTTGCCAGTTGGGTGGACGCGGTGATCCTGGTCTTCAGTTTGGAAAATGAATCCAGTTTTCAAGACGTTTACAAATTCTACCACCAGCTCGCTCTGCACAGGCCCATCAGCGAGATCGCGTTTGTGGTGGTGGGCACTCAGGGTGAGACCCCCTAACCCTAACTACATCTTTAGACCTGGTTTACATCTGTGTTTTGTCTTAGTTTAGACCTGGTTTAGATCTGCATTTAGACCTGGTTTAGATCTGTGTTTAGTCTTAGTTTATACCTGGTTTAGATCTGTATTTAGACCTGGTTTAGATCTGTGTTTAGGCTTCGTTTAGACCTGGTTTAGATCTGTGTTTAGTCTTCGTTTAGACCTGGTTTAGATCTATGTTTAGTCTTCGTTTAGACCTGGTTTAGATCTGTGTCTAGTCTTCGTTTAAGATCTGTGTCTAGTCTTGTTTAGACCTAGTTTAGATCTGTGTTTAGTCTTCGTTTAGACCTGGTTTAGATCTGTGTTTAGTCTTCGTTTAGACCTGGTTTAGATCTATGTTTAGTCTTCGTTTAGACCTGGTTTAGATCTGTGTCTAGTCTTCGTTTAGACCTGGTTAAGATCTGTGTCTAGTCTTCGTTTAGACCTAGTTTAGATCTGTGTCTAGTCTTCGTTTAGACCTGGTTTAGATCTGTGTTTAGTCTTCGTTTAGACCTGTTTAGATCTGTGTCTAGTCTTCGTTTAGACCTGGTTTAGAGATGCTTTGGAGGATCAGGATGATGATGATGTGTACATATGTTGTGTGTTTTTGTGGTAGATAAAATCAGCAGCACTAACCCCAGAGTGATCGATGATGTGAAGGCCAGGCAGCTGTGCTCTGATGTGAGGAGGTGCACGTACTATGAGACCTGCGCCACCTATGGGCTCAACGTCAACAGAGTCTTCAACGACGGTGAGGAAGGAGTCCTGCTTCAGACTACTATTCATATTTATTTCATACAATCCTTTGGTTTTATTGATATATCTACAATATGAAAACATTTTTTAAAGTAAATATTTGTATTGGCCATGTTATAGACTCAATGTCGTGACATATTTCAGCCTCTAGGAACTCCAAACCTCGCCTATGGATTTAGTCCTGTTCTAGTCTTGGTTTAGTCTCGGTCTAGTCCAGAAGGGGAGATTTGCATTTAAGATAAAACAACAACATGACGTTTCAATATTTGGAGATTGGCAATGTTTGGTCTAATCATTTTCATATTTTCCCTTCTTTCACTGTCCCTCTCTCTCTCTCTCTCTCTCTCTCTGTCTGTCTCTCTCACTCTCTCTGTGTCTGTCTTTCTCACTTTATGTCTCTCCCTCTCTCTCTTTCTCTGCCTGACTGACTCCCCCTTCCTCTTTCTCCCACTTTTTATTTCCCTCCTCTCTCTCTTTATCCCTCTCTCTCTCTGTCTGTCTCGTTCCCTCTCTTCTCTTCCCTCTCTCCCCCTCTCTGCCTCTGTCTATTTGTCTCTCTCTGTCTCATCTTCCCTCTCTCCCCCTCTCTGTCTTTCTCACTCTATGTCTCTCCCTCTCTCTCCTCGTCTCTCTCTCTCTTCCTCTGTCTGACTGTCTTCCCCCTCCTCTTTCTCCCGCTCTTTCTTCCCCCCTCTCTCTTTCCCCCTGTCTCTCTGTCTGTCTCATTCCCTCTCTCCTCTTCCCTCTCTCCCCCTCTCCGTCTGTCTCTCTTTCGTTCCGTCTCTGTCTCTCTCCTCTTCCTTCTCTCTCCCTCTCTTTCTTTCTCACACGCTGTCTCTCTCTTCTTCTCTCTCCCCATCTCTGTCTCTCACCTCTTCCCGCTCTCCCCCTCTCTGTCTGTCTCTCTCTCTCTCTCTGTCTGTACCTCCCCCTCTCACCCCCTCTCTGTCTGTCTGTCTCTCTCTCTGTCTGTACCTCCCCCTCTCTCCCCCTTTCCCCCTCGTCTCTCTCGCTCTCACCCTTTCTCTGTCTATCTATCTCTCCCCCTTCTCTCTTTCTCCTCTCCTTCTCTCTCTGTCTCTCTCTTTCTCCCCCCCCACCCCCCACCTCTCTTTCTGTCTGTCTCTCTCTTTCTCCTCCTCTCACCCCCCTCTCTCCATCCCCCTCTCTCTGCCTCTCTTTCTGTCTGTCTCTCTTACCCCCCCTCTCTCTTACCCCTCTTTCCCCTCCCCCTCTCTCTTTCTCTCTATCTCCCTCTTTCTGTCTCTCTTCTCCCTCCCTTCTCTCTCTCGCTTTCCCTCTCTCTCTCTCCCCCTCTTTCTTTCCGTCCGTCTCTCAGCCGCTCAGAAGATCATGGCGGCGAAGAAGCAGGCGGCTCTTTTGGCAGCGACGTGTAAATCTCTGCCCAACTCCCCCACTCACTCTGGAGGCTCCACCCCGGTGTCAGGAGGCTTCCCCGGGCAGGTACGACCATCTGCCGCCCTCCACCGCCCTCCTCCACCACCCGCTCTGTCCATCTTTTATTTAATATCTTTACTGATTTATAAAAGCCCCTGTGTTGGACTTTCATTTATTCTTATCAAGATAAATGCCACTTACACAAAGCACTGGACGCTAAAAGCTGCAGGAGAACAAGTGACACTCACATAGAATGGATTCATCTTCAGGGACAGGAAAAGATCTCTGAGACTAAACTGCTGCGACACTGTACACGTGTGTTTACATCATGGATCTAGAAGAAAAACTGGACAAGGCTTTTCCAATCTATGTGTCTTTTGTTTATTCATTTTTCAATATAAAACCAAAAATAAGAAAAAAAACCAAAAACCTATTTTCTTCATTATTTGTCTCCAAAACCAAAATGAAAAAACAGATTGTGATTCATTTTTTCAATTTTGTGTTTAAATGAATAATGGAAATGAATAACGGATGCTGGACTTTTGCACCACATACGGACTGAACCAGGACTGAACCAGAACTGAATCAAGACTAAAACAGGACTAAACCGTTTTCAGTCCCGGTCTGGTCCCTGTCTGATCCTGGTCTGGTCCCGGTCCGGTCCATGTCTGGTCCTGGTCTGGTCCCGGTCTCAGTCCTGGTCTGGTCCTGGTCTGGTCCTGGTCTGGTCCTGGTCTGGTCCTGGTCTGGTCCTGGTCTGGTCCCGGTCTCAGTCCTGGTCTGGTCCCGGTCTCAGTCCTGGTCTGGTCCTGGTCTGGTCCCGGTCTCAGTCCTGGTCTGGTTCCGGTCTGGTCCCGGTCTGGTCCCGGTCTCAATCACGGTCTGGTCTCAGTCTGCTCCTGGTCTCAGTCCAGATCTGGTCCTGGTCTCAGTCCTGGTCTGGTCCTGGTATTAGTGCCGGTATCAGTCCCAGTATCAGTCCTGGTCTCTGTCCAGGTCTGGTCCTGGTCTCAGTCCTGGTCTGGTCCTGGTCTGGTCCCGGTCTGAGTCATGGTCTGGTCTCAGTCTGGTCCCCATCTCAGTACTGGTCTGGTCCCGGTATCAGTCCCGGTATCAGTCTCGGTATCAGTCCTGGTCTCAGTCCAGGTCTGGTCCTGGTCTCAGTCCCGGTCTGGTCCCGGTCTCAGTCCTGATCTGGTCCCGGTCTGGTCCCGTCTCAGTCATGGTCTGGTCTCAGTCTGCTCCTGGTCTCAGTCCAGGTCTGGTCCTGGTCTCAGTCCTGGTCTGGTCCTGGTCTCAGGCCTGGTCTGGTCCTGGTATTAGTGCCGGTATCAGTCCCAGTATCAGTCCTGGTATCAGTCCTGGTCTCTGTCCAGGTCTGGTCCTGGTCTCAGTCCTGGTCTGGTCCTGGTCTGGTCCCGCCTGAGTCATGGTCTGGTCTCAGTCTGGTCCCCATCTCAGTACTGGTCTGGTCCTGGTATCAGTCCTGGTATCAGTCTCGGTATCAGTCCTGGTCTCAGTCCAGGTCTGGTCCTGGTCTCAGTCCCAGTCTGGTCCCAGTCTCAGTCCTGGTCTGGTCCTGGTATCAGTCCCGGTATCAGTCCCGATATCAGTCCCGATATCAGTCCCGATATCAGTCCCGGTATCAGTCCTGGTATCAGTCCTGGTATCAGTCCTGGTATCAGTCCTGGTCTGGTTTGGTCCTGGATGCGGTTTAGACCTTGTTTAGATTTCAGTTTTTTCCATTATTCATTTAAGCACAAAAACTGAAAAAACAAATTGTTATCCAATTTTTCATTTTAGTTTCGGAGACAAATAATGAAGAAAATAATTGTAAGTTGTTAGTTAATAGTTTATTTTGAAAAACGAACAAACGAATAAACGAATGACACACGGATTCTCCTGCCATGGTCTATTCTTGGCGTGGTGAGACGTCCAGATCATTTACTGTAAATCATGTTCCAGTGTTCATGTTCTCCACAGACACGTCCTCTGTTTGGTCCGGCATATTTTAACCCACTTGGTCTTTTTGAAGAAGGAATATAAAAATAAAAGACAGAGAAGTTTGCTGGCACTGAGCTGAAATGCAGCAAAAACAGAACATCTCAATGAAACATTCTTGTGTTGTTTTTTTCCTGCATGTTGTGTTGTGTTGTGTAGTTGTGTAGTTGTGTTGTGTAGTTGTGTTGTGTAGTTGTGTTGTGTAGTTGTAGTTGTGTTGTGTTGTGTAGTTGTGTTGTGTAGTTGTGTGTGTTTGTTGTATGTTGTGTGTGTATTGTGTGTGTGTTGTGTGTAGTGTGTTGTGTGTGTTGTGTTGTGTAGTTGTGTTGTGTAGTTGTGTTGTGTAGTTATGTTATGTAGTTGTGTTGTGTAGTTGTGTTGTGTAGTTGTGTTGTGTAGTTATGTTATGTAGTTGTGTTGTGTAGTTGTGTTGTGTAGTTGTGTTGTGTAGTTGTGTTGTGTAGTTGTGTTGTGTAGTTGTGTTGTGTAGTTGTGTAGTTGTGTTGTTGTGTAGTGTAGTTGTGTTGTGTGTAGTTGTGTTGTGTAGTTGTGTTGTGTGTGTTGTGTAGTTGTGTTGTGTAGTTGTGTTGTGTAGTTGTGTAGTTGTGTTGTTGTGTAGTGTAGTTGTGTTGTGTAGTTGTGTTGTGTTGTGTAGTTGTGTTGTTGTATTGTGTAGTTGTGTTGTTGTGTTGTGTAGTTGTGTTGTGTAGTTGTGTTGTGTGTGTAGTTGTGTTGTGTAGTGTAGTTGTGTGTTGTGTAGTTGTGTTGTGTAGTTGTGTGTAGTTGTGTTGTGTAGTTGTGTAGTTGTGTTGTGTAGTTGTGTTGTGTAGTTGTGTAGTTGTGTAGTTGTGTTGTGTAGTTGTGTTGTGTGTGTAGTTGTGTGTGTGTGTGTGTTGTGTAGTTGTGTTGTGTAGTTGTGTTGTGTTGTTGTGTAGTTGTGTTGTTTGTGTTGTTGTGTTGTGTAGTTGTGTTGTGTTGTGTTTGTGTAGTTGTGTAGTTGTGTTGTGTGTTGTGTTGTGTTTGTTGTGTTGTGTAGTTGTGTTGTGTAGTTGTGTTGTTAGTTGTTTGTAGTTGTGTTGTGTAGTTGTGTTGTGTAGTTATGTTATGTAGTTGTTGTGTAGTTGTGTAGTTTGTGTTGTGTTGTGTAGTTGTGTTGTGTAGTTGTGTTGTGTAGTTGTGTTGTGTAGTTATGTTATGTAGTTGTGTTGTGTAGTTGTGTTGTGTGTGTTGTGTAGTTGTGTTGTGTAGTTGTGTAGTTGTGTAGTTGTGTTGTGTAGTTATGTTATGTAGTTGTGTTGTGTAGTTGTGTTGTGTAGTTGTGTTGTGTAGTTATGTTATGTAGTTGTGTTGTGTAGTTGTGTTGTGTAGTTGTGTTGTGTAGTTGTGTTGTGTAGTTGTGTTGTGTAGTTGTGTTGTGTGTGTGTTGTGTAGTTGTGTAGTGTTGTGTGTTGTGTAGTTGTGTAGTTGTGTTGTGTAGTTGTGTAGTTGTGTGTTGTGTAGTTGTGTTGTGTAGTTGTGTTGTGTTGTGTTAGTTGTGTAGTTGTGTTGTGTTGTTGTGTAGTTGTGTTGTGTTGTGTAGTTGTGTTGTGTTGTGTTGTGTAGTTGTGTGTTGTGTTGTTTGTGTAGTTGTGTATGTTGTTGTGTGTGTTTGTTGTGTAGTTGTGTGTGTGTGTGTAGTTGTGTTGTGTAGTTGTGTAGTTGTGTTGTTGTGTAGTTGTGTTGTGTTGTTGTGTAGTTGTGTTGTGTTGTTGTGTAGTTGTGTAGTTGTGTGTGATTGACTTTCCATGTAGTTCATTTCTTTGTCGTACAGAAGCTTGAGCCGCGCTGCTCTGCTCATTTGCTCTATTTATACTTGGTCATCTGATTTATTAACCTCCATTACCTCCTCCTCTTCCCGTCTCTCTCTATCTCTCTCCTCTTTTTTTTCTCTCTTTCTCTGCCCCCTCTCTTTTTCTCCCTCCCTTTCCCCTTCCTTTGTTTCTCCTCTCTCTCTTTCTCCTTTTTTAAAAAAAATCTCTGCCTCCACTGTGTTTCTCTGTCTTCTGTCTCTTCCTATCTTCTCCTGCTTTTCTCTCTCATTCCCTCCCTCTTTTTTGCGGCCCCTTTCTCCCCTCTCTTTTCTCCCTGCTCTTTCTCTCTCTCACCCACCCATTTTCCTCTCCCTCTCCCTCTCTCTCCTCTCTCTCTTGCTCTTCTCTCATCCCCCTATATCTCCCACCTCTCCATTTTCCTCTCCCCCTTTCTCTCTTCTTTCTCTCGCCCCCCCATTTTCTCCTACTTCTCCCTCTCGATCTTCTCTCTCTCCTTCTCTCTCTTGCTCTCTCCCCGTTTTTTCTCCCTCTTCTTCTCCCTCTCTCTCTCCCCCCTCCCCTCTCTCTCTCTTGCTCTTCTCTTACCCCCTCATTTTCCTCTCCTTCTCCCTCTCTCTCTTGCTCTTCTCTCACCCCACTCCCATTTTCTTCTCCCCCCTTTCTCTTGTCTCTCTCTCCTTTTTCTCTCTCTTGCCCTCCCCCATTTTTTCTTCCTCTCCTTCTCCCTCTCTCTCTTTCTCTCCTTCCCCCCTCCCTCTTTCTCGCTCTTACTCTTCTCTAAACCCCCCTCTCTCTGTTTCCCTCCCCCCTCTCCTCTCCTCTGTCTCTCTCTCCCCCCCGCTCTCTCACTTACTCTCCCTCCCCTCTTCTCTCTCTCTCTACCTGCCCTCTTCTCTGTCTCTCTTCTTCTCTCTCTCTCTCTCCTCCTCTCTCTCTCTCTCTCTCTCTCTCTCTCTCTCTCTCTCCCTCCCCTCTCTCCCCTCCTCCCTCTCTCTCTCTCCCTCCTTCTCTCTCTCTCTCTCTCTCTCCCTCTCTCTCTTTCTCTCTCTTTCTCAGGCGAGTAATGGAGGCCAGAGCAGTGACTACTCGTCGTCTCTTCCGTCCACTCCGGTCATCAGTCACAAAGACATCGGTAAAAGTGTCAAAGCCGACACGCCCGGCTCCATCCGCAGCGCCACCCGCAGGAGGACGCCCAGATTTGCAGTAAATACTCACCCGCTTTTAAAAGGCCCACACTGTCTGATCTGTGTTTGAATGTTTCCTCATCACAAACAGAACTGGAGCTGTGTTTTGTTTCATTCACACATGTTTAACGCACAAACCCTGCACATTTACACTTTAGAGTTCTTCTCTCAAACAGAAAACACTTTATTCCACCCTTGTGATGTCATCTGGTAATACATGAAGTGCCCCACTGAGTTTTTAAACTCCACACACCTTCACTAGAATCATTTGAAGCTGTCAACTTGAACACTTTGGAGATGCAGACATTCAACTAATAATAACAATAGAACAGTAACATGTATGTATGAAACAAAACACAACTTCAGTTTTTGATGAGGTAACAACGCAACATCTTAAAGCTGACACAAGACTCCAGTTTCTGTAATTTACCTTTAAAAAGTCTGTACCTGATTTGAATCCATCCTTGTCAAGATAAATGTTCATGCAGTGTGGTAAAAGCTGCTAAAAAAAAAAAAAAAAAAACAAAAAAAAACTGGCCATACCGACTTGTCAAAACCTGGTATTGTCAGATCTCAGGCCTGGTTAGGACTTGGATGAGAAACACTAAGAAAGTGGTGTGTGCGTGAGTGTTGGTGGTGGTTGGAGGGGCCAATGGCGCAGATTGGCAGCCTCTCTTCCGTCAGTCTGTCCCAGGGCAGCTGTGGCTCCAATAGTAGTTTACCACCACTGAGTGTTGAGTGAATGAATAATGAACTATAAAGTACTTTGGGTGTCTTGAAAGGCGCTGTATAAATGCAATGATTAATTAAAACTCTGGTAAAAGGCTTTATTCACGGTTATGTTATAATAGTGTAGAAGTCAAGAACGCACTGTCTGAGACCGAGACAAGGCCAAGACCTCTGGGGGTCTGGGGAGACAAAATCGATACTTTTAAAGGCCGAGACTGAGACAAGACCAAGACCATGGCCCACTGAGACCAAGTCAAGACCGTTCTGTGCTGCAAAAAGTTTTGCTTGTGTTGCTTTAGTTTTTGAGATATTAATGATTCTTTTATAGGTTAAATTAGGGTCACTCAGCCCCCAGGAAGCTTCTAAATGCTCTAAAATGGCACAAAATGGAGTCATTCATTTGTGTTTCATTTGTGCTGTTTTGTGCTGCAAAAAGTTTTGTTTGTGTGATTATGGTTCTGAAGATATTAGCAGTTTTATATTCAGCCGATCGTCATCATCCAGCATCCAAAACAGAACGAAAATGATACAAAAACATTTGTATTTCGTTTGTGCTGTGACAGTTTTCATTTGTGCAAGTATATTTCTAAAATTATTCATTATTATTTTGAGGAAATAATATGACGTCATTTCTGCTCAGCTAACAGCAGCAGCTTTAGCAGAACTAGTGAAGATAAAGACTTTTCCACGGCCTCACGTTGTTTATCAGTCTTGGGTAAATTGCTTTCGATTCATATTTTATAGAATAATACAGATTTTTTTCACAGCCTGGGATCGTTTATCTTCACTAGTTTTGCAAAGTTTTCCGCTGTCAGCTGAGCGGAAATGATGTCATATAATTTCTGCAAAAAAAGTTATAATTAATAATTTTACAAATATACTCACACAAATGAAAACTGTCACAGCACAAAACAGCACAAATGAAATACTAATGTTTCATATAATTTTCTGCCTGTGTTGAGCCTATTTAACATTTTGAGGGGCTGGAGGACACCATCGGCCAAAAATAAAACTGCCAATATCCCAAGAACCATAATCACACCAATGAAACTTTTTGCAGCACAAAACAGCACAAACAAAAAACAAACGAATGACTCCATTTTGGTCATTTTAAAGCATTTTGAATCTTCCTGGGGGCTGGCTGACCCCAATTCGACCTATGAAAGAATCGTTAATATCTCAATAACAAAAACAGCACAAATGAAACTTTATGCAGCACAAAACAGCACAAACGGAGCACAAACAATTAACATAGTTTTTGTGTAGGTGTGCATTTTAATGGGGGCCAGTTTCACAGAGGTCAGTGGGATTTGTCACAGTCGGTCGGTGAGTCCAGTGACGTAACTACACTGGAAGTTGTCATCACATGTTTCCAAACTTCTTCCTGGTTTGTGACGTAAGCGTGAATAGAGTCTATTGCCAATAGACTGTTTCTGTTTCTGCGCCATGGTTCAATATCAGAGCGGCAAAAAGGACTAACTAATAACTAACTAATGGGCGGGGCTAACTAATAAACTAAAAACAAACTAAAGCATAATGCATCAGTTTTATGTAGCGCTTTTTTGGACACTCAAAGATGCTTTACAGAGCATTATTTATTCACTCCAGACCCGGTGGTGGTAAGCTACTACTGTAGCCACAGCTGCCCTGGGGCAGATTGACGGAAGTGAGGCTGCCAATCTGCACCATAGGCCCCTCCGACCACCACCATCACTCACGCACACACCACTTTCATACTAGACAATGAGGGCACCTGATTTTCCCAGTGGTCCCCTATCCCAGTACTAACTAGACCCGGCCCTGCTGAGCTTCTGACATCTGACGAGATCAGGCCTTAATGAGCCGGTATGGCCACAAATGCATGTTCTTGATTCATAGTTTGAAAAAAGGTTAATCTCCTTTAATATAATCTCTCATTTTCCAGTGTAAATGTATGTACTTGTATTATAGACACAAACTGAGTAAGCAGGCGTTCTTTAACATTTACTTGACATTTGAAATATTGACTAAGGACTGAAATAAACAGTAAGATATTGAAGTGGAACATGGTTCATTATAGAGAAATGCAAACAGCTCAGAAAGCTCCTGGATGTGTTAAAGATGCACACTAGAGATGGTACAAGATCTGTGTATCGTTCGTTCATTTGTTTTTCAAAATAAAACCAAAAATAAGAAAACGAAAAAACAACAATTTTCTTCATTATTTGTCTCCAAAACCAAAATGAAAAAAACGGATAATGATTTGTTTTTTCAGTTTTCAATTTTGTGTTTAAATGAATAATGGAAAAAAACAGATAACAGCCGTTTCACATTTCTGTGACCTAAACTGCAATGCCGGACTGAACCAGGACTGAACCAGGACTAAACCAGGACTAAAACAGGACTAAACCAGGACTAAACCAGGACCAGACCAGGACTGAGACCAGGACTGAGACGAGTACCAGACCAGGACTGAGAACAGGATTGAGACCAGGACCAGATCGGGACAAGATCAGGAATAAGACCAGGACTGAGACCGGGACCAGATCGGGACAAGATCAGGAATGAGACCAGGATCAGACCTGAACTGAGACCAGGACTGAAACTGGGACCAGAACAGGACTGAGACCGGGACCAGACTGAGAGTGAGACCAAGACCAAACCGGGACAAGACCTGGACTGGGACTGAGACCAGTTTAGTCCTGGTTTAGTCCTGTTTTAGTCCTTTTTCAGTCCGACATCACAGATTAAGTCATGGAAATCGCTGTTATCCGTTTTTTCATTTTGGTTTTGGAGACAAATAATGAACAAAACAGTTTTTCAATTTCTTATTTTTGATTTTATTTTGAAAAATGAATGAACGAATGACACATGGATTGTACAAATTCTCATGAGACGAAGTTGCTACAAGATCGTGCACTAAAAGACAAAAATGTCCTTGTGAGATTGTGTTTACATTTGGATTCGACAAAAAGAGTCATGTTTCGGTGAGTTACGTCTCTTCCAGTTCCAAAAAGCTGTGTTAGAATGAAAACAAAAATATGAAATCAAATAAATCAAAAATTGTGAGGCCAAAACTAGGAACTGAGTCATGAAATTTATTGGTGGGTGAAGTGTCTTGCCTAAGGACACAGCAACACTACTACTATTCCAGACTGTACTACTACTGCTGCAACTTATACTGCTAGTTCTTGTGTTACGACTACCAATAAAACCACTATTTGTAGAACCGGTGCTAACGAGTACTGTAAGCTTTTAGTTAAATGAAAATATTTTAGCTCATGAATTCTGAAAGCGCGCCTCATAACACCACTGACATTACAGTCATCAATCTTATGTCCGTGTGAAACAGGTGCAGCTTTCAAATATAAAGTACAAGGATTACTTCATTTACGTCAAACAACCCTGTGAAATGTGTACTCTGCGGTTTTACGGCACCAGCTTGTCCTGTTTGGTTTTCACTTAGATTAAAGTCCATTTTCTTTGATGGGAGACACTAAAAGAGACTTTCATCTGGATATTGGCTTCAGAATTGATGGAGTTTTTAGTGCGGTGCAGGCTGTGGCCGTGCTTTTCTCCTATCCTCATCCTTCCGTTTCCTTTTTTTTTTTTTTTTTTCAGTTTTTTAAGAGGATGAAGTGGTTCCGTACACTTGAATGTCAATACGGTACAAAACAAACACTGATATGGATCTTACAAAATCCGTGTATTGTTCGTTCATTAGTTTTTTTAAAAATAACCAAAACTAAGTAAATGAAAAAACAACTTTCTCTCAGATTTCTCTCAAACAAATTTTCTTCATTATTTGTCTCCAAAACCAAAATGAAAAAACAGACAAAAAATTGTTTTTTCAGTTTTCGATTTTGTGTTTAAATGAATCATGGAAAAAAAAGATAACGTCCGTTTCCCGTTTCTGTGACTTAAACTGTGATGCTTGCCTGAACCAGGACTAAAACAGGTCTAAAACAGGTCTAAAGCAGAACTGTACCAGGACTGAACCAGATCTAAACCAGGACTAAACCTGTCTTAGTCCTGGGTCCCGGTCTGGTCCCAGTCTGGTCCTGGTCTGGTCCTGGTCTGGTCCCAGTATCAATCCCAGTGTGGTCCTGGTCTCAGTCCTGGTCTGGTCCTGGTCTGGTTCCAGTCTGGTCCCAGTCTCGGTCCCGGTCTCAGTCCTGGTCTCAGTCCTGGTCTCAGTCTTAGTCTCAGCCCCAGTCTGGTCCTGGTCTCAGTCCTGATCACCCGAAAGTCTACGGGAACGCACCTCCGGGCCTGTCCCGACATTCGGTACTGGTTCAGTCCTGCTTTAGTCTTGGTTTAGTCCTGGTTTAGACCTGGTTTAGTCCTACTATAGTCCTGATCCAAAATAGATAAGTTTAAAACAGTGTACCTGATTTTTACCATCTTAAAAACATGAAAAAAGAATGAGAACAGTTTGCAGTGCTCCAAAGTTATTCCTCACATATTTTATGCATTCAGAGCATCATTATTATTTACTGCGATGAGTTTAGAAGAACTTTTCACAACTTTCAGAGACCAGAGCAGACCTTTTTCTTGGACATAATAATGAAATGCAGACAGTTAAAAAAAAATCTGGTACAGGCACTTGAATATCATACTGTGGAACTTTCCCAGGAAATCAAAAAGTATATTGAAGTTCCCACCAGAAAAGTTACATCATGCAGCTTTAATCATGTACATTTCTGACATTTCCTCAGTAGTTCTAAAGTCTCTTCAGTCTCTCACCCTGTATTTATATTCCTTTGTGTTTGTCAGGGTCGCAGAGGCAGTGACTCGAACAGGCGCAGCGCTGACAGCAGTCTGGGCAGTGGGCGGTGTATCCCCATAAAGCAGGTGACATGTACATTTCTATAGGAAACGACACAAAGACTTGAAGAGTCCATAATCTGATATTTTCTCATCTATATAAAGTTACGGTGTCGTGTTTTGTTTCATTTCACACATCCTGCATATTTAGGCAGAGTTTACGTCAGCAGAGTTCAGAAAACACTCTGTCCCACTTGTGATGTCATGTGGCAATACTTAGGCCCCGTCCACACTAGTGCATATTCGAGTTGTTTTCCTTGTGGATGCAGTGTTTGTTCACACTAATCCGATGGAAAATGGCTCCAGAGACGGAACGATCTGGTGCTGCCAGCTCCCACGAATTCATTTGAGTATGTATCTGATCCAGCACTGTGTGGACACCTGAAAACACTGATACTCTGATGTAGGCCTGTGCACCGCCAAAAGATAGAATATATGTCCATTCATGTATACGGTCTGTGTGTACGACCTGCAGACGTATAATCTCTGAAAAGTTTAACATGAACCATCTCCAACGTGACAGAAGCACAGAACAGACTCACCATCAGCAGAACATCCACATTCCACTCATAATCCAAGTCGTGTCCTTTAGTCCGACAGAAGCTGAACTGCATCAGCATACAATAGAGAACTGTTTTTTGTTTTGTTTTTTTGAGCACATAGTTTATGCAAATTAGCCATGTGGTTTTAAATTTCATTTCTGTAAACAAATATGCGCAAAGCTGTGTGGATAGGGAAGCATGGATAGGTAAACGTAGTCTTAAAGTGCTCCACTGTGTTTTAAACTCCACACATCTTCACTAGAATCATTTGGATAATTTCAGACTTGGAATTGCCAATCTCTACTGAACTAAAGTTAAAGATGTAGCTGTGAATTTGAAAACTACTGCTACATGACATCACAAGGAGGAACAGAGCATTTTGAGCTTTTTTTTTTTTTTTTTGAGCTTTATTTAGACTTCTATATTTTTCGGACTTTAAGGCACACTTAGAGTCCTTAAACATTCTCAAAAATCAACAGTGTGCCTTGTTATCCGGTGGGCCATATGCATTAATTCTGGTTCTAGTTCATTCTGGAGTCATGTCCTTTAGTTCAGTGTTTCCAAAACTTTTTTTCTGGGGACCCATATTTTAAAAGTCAATAGACATTATTCATAAATCACAAAATAAATTTGTGACCATTATTGAACATTAATGAGGGTATTTTATTGTATTATTATTAGTATTACTGTATTTTTCAGACTATAAGGTGCAATATCAATAATGTTGAATTCTTGTCTATTTTCATACATAACACAAATGGATAACACTTGAGACTTAAGACTTTTTTATTTCCTATGAGGACAACTCATAACAATGTGTTTAATGCAGCTTTTGCTAAGCAAATTTAAGTGCATTTTGGTACTCCAGCTTTAAACAAGGAAAAACAGTAATCACTGTTTCCCACAGAAAGTTTGTTAGGCAAGGCAGTGCTGCCGAAAAAGTGAGGAGCAGGGGCTGCGAGGAGATTCCCTGCATGATGCAGATCATGACAAGGCGACCCAAAAAAAATCTCTTGCGTCCCACCTGAGGGTCGCAACCCAGTTTTTGGGAAACAATGCTTTAGTCCGACAGAAGCTGAACCGCATCAGTGCACAAGGAGTGAGCTGTTTATTCAGCCCTTATAGTTTATGTACATAAGTCATGTGGTTTTAAGTTTTGTTTCTATAAAACGTAAACAAATGTGCACAAAGCTGCATTAAACATTATTACTCAATGCATATTTGAGTCGTCCTCGTAGCAAATAAAAAACAAACTTAAATGATCCACCCACATTCACATTCATAATACACATTCACCAAGACAAGGAGGCAACGCCGGGCGAATTACGCCATGATGCCATTTGTTTCGCTTAATGTGCCTTATAATCCAATGTGCCTTATGTATGAAAATAAACGAGAGAATTCAACATTATTGATACTGCGCCTTATAATCCGGTGCATCTTAAAGTCTGAAAAATACGGTAATAATGCAGGATTACTTCAAACGTGTGAATGAAACAAAACACAACTGAACACTGAAAATACATACATATTTAGTTTTTTGTTTTATTCTGTTACAGTTACTTTCATTTGTGGGTGTTGATACTTTGCAGTGACATCACAATGTTTTTTGACAGGGACTTATTTAACAGCACGAATCAGATGACCTGTCGTAATTCCAGCTAAATCACAACCTTTACAGTCAGATTGTGTTAAAATTTGAAGTAAAACTTGAGTAACAGAACAGTTTCAGACAGAGCAGTGCCTCTAGTTTACATCACACCCCCGGAGAATGTTGACGACAGCTCAGACGAACAGACGAACAAAATCACCGCTCTTGTGCGATTTTTCCTTCTTTTATTAGTGATAGTGATAATAAAGGCATAAAAAAGTGAAGCACAGATTACAAGTATTCAAAGTATTATTCCAAAAACTGCAAATCTCCCATCTCCTGAGCGGCAAGGAGGTAAAAATACGTGTAGATCTGGGCCTTGTGAAGAGCTGTAGGCGTTTGGCTCACACTACTAATGTGTGAAATCCAAAGCAGAAAATATTTGAGAGAGTTTATTGACAGATTTATTGACTAGAACGTTAGAAAATACCAAAAATACAACTGGTGTTACCTCACAGCAGTGTAAAGCATTGTGCGTACACCCACACCGTCTTGGGCGAAAATGTTTTAAATCTGTTTGCGACTTCGCCGTAAAGTTTCATTGTTCATTAGGGAAGTCATTAGGCAGTCTAATCTCAAAGTGCTGTATATCTTTATAGCTGTACTGGCCAATCACCAGGAGAGACACGTGCACATTAAACAAATCACTTAAATTATTGCATTAAATCTGCAATCTCCACCGTAGCAGCAGAATCAACAGCCTCCTCAGTGTCTCCAGCTCCTCATCCTGTTCTTTCCTATTATCAATCTGGACAATATACCACTAAGTAATATCTTATCTCATTGTATAATAGTGTTAGTGTAACTGTAGTAAAAGTAATTGCGATTTAAAAGACTATTTTGGCTAATTGTTCCACAGTATATACTCTTATATACTCTTCCTCTCTCAGCCTTTCTTCGTCTCTAGGTTTCTCTTTCACTGATAACTCCGCAGTTTTATTTAAGTGGCGTATAAAGGACATTTTCTGTATTCATCTTTGCTTTTTTCCGCCAGGGCATTTTACTCAAACGCAGCGGGAACTCTCTGAACAAAGAGTGGAAGAAGAAATATGTGACTCTCACCAGCGATGGGATCCTGTCGTACCACGCCAGCGTCAATGTGAGTGCTCTTAAAATACTCAGCAAAAGTAATGTCATGTAATGTGATGTAATTTAATGTGCCGGATTTTTTGGACTATAAGATGCACTTTTTTCATGGTTTGGGTGTTTCCTGCGACCTATACTCTTGTGCAACTTATATATTAGCATTTTCACACTGAAGTGTGGAGAGGCTCTAGTCTTGTGTGTGAGTATCTGCTGCTCCTGTTCCTCCTGTACCACTGTCACTTCACTCTACTGCACATGTCTCCTGCAGAAAGAGCCTCTGTCCTGTCTTTATCATGTCAGTTGATCGCACCATTACTTCTGCACCACTGAACAATTTAACATTTAAACAAACTTATAAAGATGACTGAGAAGACTGACCACAAATGCCCCCAAAAGAAATTCAGATTTTGCAGATTACGAGCTGCAAGTCGTGAAATCTGCAGCTGAAAACAGTAATCGAGCAGCAGAAAGAAAGTTTGGAGTGAGTGAGAAACTTGTGACACTGGGAGGATGCAGCATGAAACTTTCCTGAAGTCACTGGATGGATGGACAAAGCCTGGACTTCAGTGACACCGAAATCATCCTGTCGGGATTCAGAAAGGCCTGAATAATTCTAACTGGAACTGATGCTGAGTCTGACGACAGCGACACAGAAGAGGAAGTGACGCTCCATTTAACTCTGAAGGTCGCCGAGTGCCTCAGGAGTGACACCGAGGATGAAGAATTAATTTAGTGATTTGGAGTGAGATGGAGAGTTTGGTAAACTTGTTCTGTTGTTTATGTTATAGTTATCTGAAGAACTGTTCATATGTGACGTTAACAGTCTGTTATTCTCTCTTCTATTGTTATTACTATAACTTGCCTTTCAACATGAAATGTTGGTTCCTGGTCTCTGATTTTATAAAATAAATTTCCCTCAAAAAGTGTGACTTATAGTCCGGTGCGAATTATATGTTTTTTTCCTTCTTCATTGGCCTATGGATTTTTTGGCTGGTGCAACTTATACTCCAGAGCGACTTATAGTCCAAAAAATACAGTAATGTAATTTAATTTAAAGGTGTATGGTGTAACATTTCCTGTAGAGGGTCCATCGAATGCTTTTCTCCATGGAGATGTTATTGCTTTGTCTAGAATGTTTCGCAGTATGGCATTAAACCTTTCTATATGCGTGGAGACCAAACCAGACCAAGTTACAAGTCAGATCTGTGGAGAGGCGACCTCACTCACAGTCAGAATGTTTGTTTTTCTAGGCATTTTTGAGGCTACAAAACCATTTGTAATTGAATAAATGTAAAGTAGAGCTGTTTAAAGTCATACTGTGGAACATTCCAGGCACAGCAATGACATATCCATAGAAACAAGCATGTAATGGACCCCAAACAAAAAAGTACAGCAACTTTTAATTTCAAGAAATACTGAATTGTAATATTTTTTTATGGGAATTTGAAAGTAAAAATCTTTGTAGTTCTGTTAATATTGGCATAGTGTTTTAGGGATGGACAATAAATCAGAGCTAATGTTAATATTGGCCATTATGCAGGATTTTTTTATGCATTGGAATTGGAATAGTTCCCAGATCCCACATTATTTCCTTTGCTCCCCGGAGTCTCTGTGTCTCTGTGTGTCATCTTCAGTTTGTGCTCAGTTCATCAGATATGTCTTCACAAATAGAGTTATGGAGTTACAACAGAAATGAATGAAATAAAAATGCAAGTTCCTTTACAACAATTTTAGTTTAGTTTGTAAATCTTGATAATGACTTTAGAAAATGGTGGCTGAAAATAAAATCAAGCTCACTGCGTCCATCCATGGTTTCAGAATGATGAAAATCTGAGACCATCGTGATCAACAATTAAAAACTAAATGTTCTAAGAATGGGAAAAAGTCCTGGAAGCTGAAACTTGACACTTTACAGTGACGTCATGACATGCTGGGAGGTTCTGCATGTATGTCTATGGTGGAATCTTCAGCTCTGACACAATGCACACATTAGCTAACACTGACAAAAAAACTTTAAAGGACTAGTGAGCCAGAGTGTTGGAGACGTGTGGAGATACCTTTTTAAATATTCCATCCAGTCCTTGTATTTGCAGAGGTCGCTGGTGCTAGGCTAGTGCATGTCAATGGTCTTACCCACTCCACAAAACACCCGAAGAAAATCTATTATTACACCAGACTGTCCATGTGAATGTCTGTGTCGATAGAATAATGTTTGAAATAAAACTAACCTTCCATCGCATGTTGAGGGACTATTTTCTCATATATCAGTCCGCCGCTGCCGAGCTTTCTAACAGGAAGTACAACTCACTGCTGCTGCTCAGACATAAATCCTTCAAATGCAAGGTTGGTTTACTTCTAAAATTACAACACAGACATTCACATGGACAGTCTGGTGTAATAATAGATTTGCTTCGAGTGTTTTGTGGAGTGGGTAAGACTGTTTTTAGTGGCAGGCTAACTATGGCCATTGACATGCGCTAGCCTAGCACCAGCAACTAGAGCCCCGCACTCCCGCACTGTTTTGCGTCAGGTCCTGTGGGAGACACAATGTGAAAGCTCATTGTGGGCGGGAGCGGGACTGGACAATGCGGAAGTGGACGTGTGGGAAAATAAACTGCAGTCCCACAAACTAAAATATGAGTGTTAAATAAAATATACAAATAATTAATGTTTGCCTCTCATACATCATTTGTGCTGGATATTTTATTTTCCATTAATAAAAAACATTTCAAGCAGCCTAAACTTGCATATGTGGTATAATCTCGCACACTTTTTAGATCCCTTTCTGCTTCTCCGTGTTTGATAGAGCTTAAGAAAGCGAACGCCCCGATCTTGCGGGATTTGTGGGCGGGAGAGGGACAAAATATCGCAGATGTGGGCAGAGGCAGCAATGAAAATTACAATTCTTTGCAGGTGGGAGAGAATTTTCAGCCCTGCGCAGACCTCTACCATCGACCTTTGTAAATACAAGGACTGGATGGAATATTTCAATAAGTGTCTCCACACGTCTCCAACACTGTGGCTCACTAGGAAATGAGGCCCTATGTCCAAAATTCTAAACTGTGCCTTTAATATAGTCTGAAAACTCAACATAAAATGAATGAATGGATGTCTTTATTTGTCAGTTTATTCAAATGTACAAGACAAACAAAGGAATCAAAATTGGACCTGTCACCCTGTCCGTACATTTACAAATACATAATACATGACATGGGGGGTACTAGACATGGACTGGACCGGAAGACAGGGAGCAGAGGAAGAAAACAATGCAGCATAATATGAGGATAGGGGGAAGGACAACCCCAGACAAGGACAACCAGGAGGACAGCCCCCAGACCATGCCCCTTAACTGAGGCATAGTATGGAACCAGTACAGTCCACAAAAACACCTCCGCAACATGAGCACATACTCAAAAAACAGTGCAGACATACCACAGACCTGCTTACCATGCTGGGTGAGGCAAGGTTGTGAAGGCGTAGAGGTAGTCTGAGTCTGAGAGGAAAGGCATCCACCCTCGCCAAGAGCCAAGACAAGATACAAATACAAAATAGATTAAAACGCCACATTTTCAGCAGCCTGTGATCAATACTGCCTGTTTGGGTGTTTGATTTTCAACAAAAAGATGAGAGTGACTAACTGAAAAACTGTTGGCTCATGACATCAGCTGCAAAGTATCAATTGTCTTTTGCTCATCTGGACTTAATATGCAAAATAAAAGCATAAATAATATCCAGAATACATTGGTCTAACTCTACACTGTCCTCCTCCTGTTAGGATTACATGCTGAACGCTCCGGGGAAAGAGATGGACCTCCTGCGCGTCACTGTGAAAGTCCCCGGGAAACGCCCTCCTCGAGCCGTACCCCAGTCCGTGCCCGGGTCTGTGCCGGGGTCCGGACCTGGGGCCGTGCCGGGGTCTGTGCCCGGGTCTGGACCAGGGTCTGGACCAGGACCAGGACTCAACGGAAAGGCCAAGGATCCACAGGGGCCGGATGGGCTCGGTCTAGGTGAGTCCATCGGGGTTAGAAGGTTCAGAGGCAGATCATGATTGTGCTGTGTGTGAGTGTTGCTGATGGCGCACATATGCAGCCTTGCTTTTGTCAGTCTGTCCTAGGGCAGCTGTGGCTACTGTGGCTAATAGAAATTTATCACCACAGAGTCTAGAGTGAATACTGCAAAGTTTGAGTGTATTGATAATGATATCTCAATGTTATATAAAGCCAGTACATCCTGATCATGCAGTTGTACCCTCACCTTATAGCGAGAAGTATGACTGCAGCAGTTACCTGTTTAATAGTCAGTCGGTGTAACGCTCATTTGTCCTGTAGCGGTCCATAGTAGAAAAGGTTTCAAAGGTAGTCATTTGGATGAAATTTCAAACAACTTTTAAAACAGTGGCATTAAATCAAAATGGTAGTTCCAACAGTAATACCCTTCATTCATCTAGAAGTGTTCAGTCTATATTTTTGTTGAAAATGCATGCATGCAATGTGTTAAAATAATCTATGACTTATCGATTACTGAGGCAACCAGAAAGTAACCAGGTTTGATTCCCAGACTGGCTGTCATAATAATACTTTTAAAACCACATTATACTACAGAAAATATTGTGATTAATACTTCTGATGATCATCTCAGTAAAGCTGTGTGCACTGCAGGAAGGCAATGACTTTACAAAAATGCAATAAGCCAATTCTGCCCATTTCTCTCAAGATATTCTCTTTGTGCAGTTGAAACGATGCCAAACCTTGACAACAGAACAAAAGAGTCTGTGGTGATAAAAAAAAAAAAAACCTTTGTACTATTAAATAACTGTTGTTCTCTTGGCTGCAGTACCGCTGACGGCCAGTAGTCTGCTGCAGATGGAGGAGATGGAGCTGGGCAGCGCTCTGTTTCTGAGGAACAGTCGAGGGGTCCAGAGGTGTGGCTCCAACGTGTCCAACCACGCCCACAGCGTCGGTGAGGAACTTCTACTCATTTAACAATCACTGATTATCAAGAAAGACATGATGCTATTTTCTGGTGTTCATTTAGGTAGTAACTATCACATAGGTTCATGATTATTTGACATTTTATTCATTGTAAACTGCATGTTTTATGTAAAATAACATAAGAGAAAAGGATACATTGACTTTCTGTTCAATGTAAATGAGTGAGCATGTATTTTTAAATATTTATTGTAGTACAGGGCCGTGGGCAGAGGTGGGCACTGTAGTATATAACATGGTGATGTATGATTTAAAGTTAATGTAATTGGAAGGTATGCAAGTGGTATGAATAAGTGATCTTTTTGTGGGTCAGAAGGATACATCTCAATAACCAGAGGCTTTGGAGCTGTTTTCTCTTCACCGCGTTCTGCTGGAGAGTAGCAAACACCTGCCTTTCTTGGAAGCCGCCTGGGTGGCCTTTGTTTTTTTGGTGCTTCTGAAGGATAGACCTGGATAACCTGAGGCTTTGATGTGGGAGCCTGAACGTTGGGTGACGGACAAGTTTGTGTACTTTTCGAAACTGGTTACTCTTCTCTTCTTTGTTGTTGCATCTTGTGGTCACCAACCTTTCTGGGAAGATCTCTTGGTGGTCTTTGTTCTTTCGGTGGCCTCTGAGGATACACCTCAATTGGCTGAGGGGGTTTCCACCAATTTTGTCCAACATTTAAAACCTCAGCAACCTGCCTGTGTGAATTTTCCTCCCTGTTTTTTTTTTCATTCTCGTAAATCAGACCTTTTATGTGGGTAGAGGAGCTGACACAAACTTAGGCTTTTCTTTCTCCGGAAGCTTGTGTTGCTTCAGTTTGTGCCTTGTTGATTTTTGGTCCCACCCTATCTGGTCGGGGATGATTGCCATTCCTTTTGTCATTTTTGCTCGGGTTTTTAGGACCTTGGGTTGCCTCTCTGTTGGTTTTGTTATGACATTTAGGTCTGCCATCGTTAGTTCTTCTCTCTGTTGTCTGTCCAATATTAAAAGGCCGTCTTCCTCCTGCTGAGACAGAGTTTCTGTGTGGTGGAGATGTCTCTGCTCCATTGTTCAGTTTCAAGGGTTTCTTGGCAGATCTTCGGTCAGCACTGGGGTTGTTGGCAGCAATAGTTTGGGTAAGAACCAGCTGCTTCCCTGGGCCATTGGTTGGAAGAAGGTCCCTTGGGTACTGGAGATGCCTGGGCTGATTCTGCATTCTCCAGCCTTTTCTTGTGGCATCTCCTTTCTTTGTGAGTTTCCCATCCCTCATCTTTGGCTCCATTGTCCTCATTTGGACCCATGTCAACAGTGTGTAGAGACTAGGCCATACTCTCCTGCTCTGTCTCCTCAACTGTGACAGAACAAATGTGGATGTGAGGTTGATTAACCTGCACAGAAGATCTTTTCTGGTTCTTTTTCTTCCCATTGTGTAAAGTTTGTTATTATCAATCATCTTGATAATAAGTCGCACGCATTGGTAGTGTTGACCTAAAAGTGTTGGAGACTTCTGCTTCTCTGTTTGTGTCCACAAGTGTGTCAGCTATCAAATGACCAAAATCTGCTTCTGTTTCAAACTCACAAACAAATATTAGCACAACAGAAGTCTGATTGAAGTCTAGATTCATATAAAATAATGGCAAATAATGACTCTAGTGGTTCAGATTTTGATTTTAAATGATAGTGTTGTTCTTGTAGTGGAGTCATGTGGTTCACTTTTGGCTAAATACTGGTCCAGTAGTTTGATGTTATGGAATATTTCTCTAATCCAGCCTTTCCCAAAGTGTTCTGCCACAGCCTGTGCCTGTTGGGTTAATACTAATATAAAGCAGTACATTGAAACTAGTGTCCTATGTGAGGTGGATTTCAACTCTTTTTCTTCTTATGCTTGTTTTGAACAACCTTTGGGGGCTACGCTGCAATTCCTCTGCGGTCCCCCACTTTGGGAAGCACTGTGCTCCAGATTGTGGATTCAGATATGTTCTGCTCCTTCAGACTCTGCTGTTGAAGGTGTGTCCAGCTCCTCCTCCACAAAAGACATGGGCTCAGGCTCTCCTCTGACCGACCGCAAGAAACATCGAAGGAAGAAGAGCGTCAACCAGAAGGGAGACGCCATTGGACAGGCTGACGGTACAATACCCAGACACACTCTTTTATTTGATTTACTCTTCAAGACAAATCTGGTGTCACCAAAGTGAGACTAGCTTAGACCTGGTTTAGTCCTTGGTTAGACCTGGTTTAGCCTGGTTTAGACCTGGTTTATTCTTGGTTTAGACCTGGTTTTGTCCTTGGTTAGAAATGATATAGTTCATGGTTAGACTTGCTTTAGACCTAGTTTAGTCTTTGGTATAGACCTGGTTTAATCCAGGTTTTGTTCTTGATTATACCTGATTTAGACCTGGTTTAGTCTTTGATTAGACTTGGTTTACACCTAGTTTAGTCCTTGGTTAGACCTGGTTTAGACCTGGTTTAATCTAGGTGTTGTCCTTGGTTATACCTGATTTAGACCTGTTTTAGTACTTGGTTAGGCCTGGTTTAGTCCAGGTTTTGTCCTTGTTTAGACCTGGTTTAGTCTTTGATTAGACTTGGTTTACACATAGTTTAGTCCTTGGTTAGACCTGGTTTAGAATTGGTTTAATCTAGGTGTTGTCCTTGGTTATACCTGATTTAGACCTGTTTTAGTACTTGGTTAGGCCTGGTTGAGTCCAGGTTTTGTCCTTGGTTAGACCTGGTTTAGACCTGGTTTAGTCCAGGTTTTGTCCTTGGTTATACCTGATTTAGACCTGTTTTAGTGCATGGTTAGGCCTGGTTTAGTCCAAGTTTTGTCCTTGGTTAGACTTGGTTTAGACCTGGTTTAGTCCAGGTTTTGCCCTTGATTAAACCTGGTTTAGTTCTGGTTTAGATCTTGCCTAGACCTGGTTTTGTCCTTGGTTAGACCTGGTTTAGACCTGATTTAGTCCTTGTTTAGACCTGGTTTAGACCTGATTTAGTCCTTGTTTAGACCTGGTTTAGACCTGGTATTATCCTTGGTAAGACATTTCCCTGAAGGCTTGTGCATTTATCCTATGTTATGTTTCTTTATCTCATGTAGTCTCATATATTTTCATTGGCCTTTCTTGTCAGAACCGCTCTGAAACCCACATGGACCAGAGTGATTCTTTCAAGTGAGATTAAGATGGCCGCCGTGTTATTGTGCTTGTGTTGTTGACATGTCCTTTTGTGGGTGCGTCTGATCCCACTCCAGGCCTATTGACATTTCTCATCTCCTTCTGCAGCTAAGCGAAAAATGTGGAAACTCAAGAGCTTCGGCAGCTTAAGGAACGTCAGTAAGACAGGTAAGAATGATCCTCCATAATGCATCTGTGCGCACGCCCGCTGCTGCCGGGACATCCATCTGTCAACACTGCACAGAGTTTATGTAAAGTGTATGGTTAGCATTCACGGTTTAAGTTCATATGATCTTTTCTGCTGCAACACACACCCGTAAAATCACAACAATGCTATTATTAGATCTTTGTACTAAACATAAACTGTCTCCTCGGGGCTGTTTGTTTAATTCATTCCAAATTGTGTGTCTCTAAAAAGTCCCAACTCTGCTCCAAACACCGAGCCTATTCACAGACTTCATGTATTATTCTATAGGCTACATTTATGCTTTTTTTTAAATGTGTTTCTTTCACTCTCTCTTTCCCTCCTCTCTCACTGTCCCTCCTCTTCAATTCTCTCTCTCTCTCTCTCTCTCTCTCTCTATCTGTTTCTTTCTCACTCTCTCAACCCCTCATGTCCTCTCTTACTTGCTTCTCTCTCTCTCTCCCCTCTGTCATCCTCACTTACTCTCTTCTCTCTGTCATCCTCTCTCTCTCCCTCTTACTCTCTCATCCTCACTTACTCTCTTCTCTCTCTTTCCGTCTGTCATCCTCACTTACTCTCTTCTCTCTCATCCTCACTTTCTCTCTTCTCTCTCTCATCCTCACTTACTTTCTCTCTCTGTTGCTCTCATCTCCACTTACCCTCTTCTCTCTCTCCCTCTGTCATCCTCACTTACTCTCTTCTCTCTCTCACTCTCTCATCCTCACTTACTCTTCTCTCTCTCTCTGTCATCCTCACTCTCTCTCTCTCTCTCTCTACTCTCTTTCTCTCTCTCTCTCTCTCTCTCTCCCTCTGTCATCCTCACTTACTCTCTTCTCTCTCATCCTCACTTCTCTCTCTTCTCTCTCTCATCCTCACTTCTCTTTTCTCTCTCTTCTCTCTCTCCTCACTTTCTCTCTCTTCTCTCTCCTCTTCTCTCTCTCTCTCTCTCTGTCATCCTCACTTACTCTCTTCTCTCTCTTCACTCTCTCATCCTCACTTACTCTCTCTCTCTCATCCTCACTTACTCTCTTCTCTCTCTCATCCTCACTTACTCTTTTCTCTCTCTCTCACTCTCTCATCCTCACTTTCTCTGTCTTTTCTCCCTCTCATCCTCACTTACTCTCTTCTCTCTCATCCTCATTCTCTCTCTCTCTCTTTCTCTCTTCTCTCTCTCTCTCTCTTTCTTTTTCTCTCTTCTCTCTCATCCTCACTTACTCTCTTCTCTCTTTGTCATCCTCACTTACACTCTTCTCTCTCTTCCTCTGTCATCCTCATTTACTCTTTCTCTCTTTCTTTGTCGTTCCCACTTTTTTCTGTTTTTCTCTCACATCCTCTCATTATCTTTCTCTCTCTTCTCTCTCTTTCTCCTCCTCTCCCAATTTCTCTTCTTCTTGTACTCTCTCTCTCTCTCTCATCCTCTCGTTTTTCTCTGTTTTTCTCTCTCATCCGCTCTTTATCTTTCTCTCTCTTTGTTTCTCTTCTTCCCCCCTCCCCATTACTCTCTCATCCTCCCTTACTCTCTTTTCTCTCTCTCTTTCTCTCTCACACGTGCTCTCATCCTCTCTCTCTCCCTTTCTCTCTCTGTTTCTCTCTCTCACTCTCTCATTCTCCTTCATTCTCTTTCTCTCCTCTCTGTCTATACTCTCTCTCTTTCCTCCCTCTCCATCTTTCATCTTTCTCTCTCCTCCCTGGCCGGTCTCTCGTTCCAGATGAGGATAACTTTGACTTCCTGGTGGTGTCCAGTACGGGTCAGACGTGGCACTTTGAGGCTCAGAGTGTGGAGGAGAGGGACTCGTGGGTCCAGGCCATCGAGAGTCAGATCCTGGCCAGTCTGCAGCTGTGTGAGAGCAGCAAGAACAAGGTACAGAACCCCCCCCCACAGAGGCTTCACTACGAGGGGTCCACTCGTCACAAAGAGAGGGGACTGCTGACTCATTCTGTTAAAATATAAACAGGGGAGGAAAGTAACTCATTAAAAATACTCATGTTACTCTAATGAAGGACATTTTTGGGGTAGTACTGTATTTTTCAGGCTATAAGTCGCACTTTTTTATGGCAGTATCTATTACTACTATTACTCCTGTACCACTGTCACTTCACTCTACTGTGCATGTCTCCTGCAGAAAGAGCCTCTGTCCTGTCTGTATCATGTCAGTCATTACTTCTGTACCAGTCAAAATTTTACATTTAAACAAAAACAAAAAGACAACTGAGAAGACAAATGCCCCCAAAAAGAAAATCATATTTTGCAGATTAAAAGATGAAAGTAGCAAAGTCTGCAGCTGAAAATGATAATCGAGGATGCACCATGAAACGTTCCTGAAGTCACTGGATGGATGGACAAAGCCTGGACTTCAGTGACACCGAAACCATCCTGTCGGAATTCAGAAAGGCCAGAATAATTCTAACTGGAACTGTTGCTGAGTCTGACGACAGCGACACAGAAGAGGAAGCGGCGCTCTGTTTACCTCCAGAGGTCGAGGCCGAGTTGTTCAGAAGTGACACCGAAGATGAAGAATTGGATGGATTTAGTGATTTGGAGTGAGATGGAGAGTTTGGTAAACTTTTTCTGTTCTGTTGTTTATGTTATAGTTATCTGAAGAACTGTTCATATGTGACGGAGCGACTTATAGTCTGTAAAATACGGTAATACTTTTTCACTAGATCTTTAAAGGTGAACTGCGTAACTTTTTGGTTGGGGATCTGTTATGTCTTGTACCCATGGATATGTCATTTCTTTGCCTGGAATGTTCCACAGTAAGACATTAAACAGCTCTAACTTACATTTATAGTAAGGTTAGTTCAAAAATACCTAAATACACTTTCTTTCTGACTGTGAGCATGGTCGCGTTGCCACAGATCTGACCTGTAACTTGGTTTGGTTTGGCCTCTGCGAAGATAAAAAGGTTTAATGCCATATTGTGAAACATTCCAGACAAAACATTCCAGGCAAAGCATTTGACAGACCCTCCACCAGAAAAATTACACAATGCACCTTTAAACATGTAATTGAGTTTAATTATATAATATAATATCATTGCAATTACATTTAAGAGATTCATTTTGACAGTAGCTCAGTTGGTAGAGTTCATCCAGTGATCCGAAGGTTGGCCGTTCAAATCCCGCTCTCAAAATCAGATCCACTGACCCAATGGTTGGCAGTTTGATTCCAGTTCCTAAAGATGAATACTCAGGGTTCCCACAGTCATGGAAATCCTGGAAAAGTCACGGAAATTTGTAAATTCAATGAAAGTTTTGGAAAAGTCATGGAATTTTAGTGTCTCTTCCACAAAACTCCAGTGTTCTGTGAAGTTCTCATTAGGCTATTCTGATTATTTCTGAACGTCTGCACCTTTTGTTTAAAAGAGACGACAATAAATGCACTGACAGGATTTTGAATGTTCAGAAATATAATCCCAAACCATAAGGTAAGTGGAAAGAGTTCACATTTCATATTTAACCCTAAAAGTCTGATCAACTGTACAGATGTTAGGTGCTGTAAAGTCATGGAAAATTCAATTTCAAATTTTGAAACAGTGGGAACCCTGAATATTGTTGTGTCCTTGGGCAAAACACTTCATCGCCCCCAGGGTCTGTGTACACTGATGTATGAATATGTGTGTGAATGGGTGAGTGGTTCCTGTGTAAAGTGCCTTGAAGGTGGAAAAGTTGTGTATAAAAATGTGACCAAATAGAGTACAATCATCTGTCCTACACCACGTCTATCTCACCGCTGCATCTCCTTCAGATTTTTGATTGGTTCTGGTTTAGTGAAGCTTTCTGGGGTTTTCCTGCTCTGCAGTGGTCAGTGTTGCTCAGTGGTGTTTTTTTTAGACCTGGTTTGGGTCTGGTTTAGACCTGGTTTAGAATGGTTGAGTCCTGAGTCATACCTCAGTCCTGGTTTAGTAGTGTGTTGGTTCAGTTGGTCGGGTGTTCCCAGGATGCAGGGGTCAGTATCAGTGGTGCATTAGGCCTATCAGTAGACTTTATAACGAAGTGGACTAAGTGAAGTGGACATCACCCATAGTGTTTGGCTCAAATTTCCGTATTTTTCAGACTATAAGTCACTACAGAGTATAAGTCGCACCAGCCAAAAAATGCATAATGAAGAAGAAAAAACATATACAAGTCACACCAGACTATAAGTCACACTTTTTGGGGGAAATTTATTTTATAAAATCAGAGACCAGGAAACGACATTTCCTGTTGAAAGTCAAGTTCTAGTAATAACAATTGAAGAGAGAACAACAGACGTCACATTAACATCACATATGAACAGTTCTTCAGATAAACTATAACATAAACAACAGAACAGAACAAGTTTAACAAACTCTCCATCTCACTCCAAATCACTAAATCCATTCAATTCTTCATCCTGGGTGTCACTTCTGAACAACTCCACTACCTCCGGAGGTAAACGGTAAACTGTGTAGCTGTCATCAGACTCAGCATCAGTTCCAGTTAGAATTATTCAGGTCTTTCTGAATCCCGACAGGATGGTTCCAGTGTCACTGAAGTCCAGGCTTTGTCCATCCATCCGTTGACTTCCAGGAAAGTTTCATGGTGCACCCTCTTAGTTAACGTGAAGCTGTGTTCTCCATCCCCGCCTTTCTGCCAGTCCCTCACAAGTTTCTCGCTCACTCCAAACTTTCTTTCAGCTGAACATTTCACTACTTGCAGCAGGACAGCGGCCTTTTCTGTAGGAGACATGCACAGTAGAGCCAAGTGACAGAGGTACAGGAGGAACGGGAGCAGCAGATACTCACACACAAGACTAGAACCTCTCGTTGCTTCAGTGTGAAAATTTTAATATATAAGTCACACCGGAGTAAAAGTCGTAGGAAACACCCAAACCATGAAAACAGTGCAACTTATAGTCCAAAAAATACAGTATACTCATCAAGGCTAGCAGTTATAGGGGTGAATTTGAAGCAGAGTTCCATATTTGGAATTCCGACACTTGATTGGTCTGTTATTAATGTTCATTTATTGATTTACAGATTAAAAAGTGAAATAAGGATCATGTAGAGCGGGTTATTGCTAACATTTTAAGACCAAAATGACAGGCCTGACAACAACAGTTACAGAAAGAGAAGAGGCCATGCTCACTTCCTATTTGGGACACGGCAACTCTTGTGAAGTCCTGGTTTAATGCTGCTGTTGTGGCTTGTTCCCGGTCTCCCGTGGTCCGTATCAGACTCACTTTGATTTCTTTTAGTCCTTGGTTAGACCTAATTTAGACCTGGTTTAGACCTGGTTAAATCTGCTGCTTCACACAATGACCCAGCCACCTTTATTTGTATAACATGTTTAATTTCCTCATCTGAAGTCACTAAAAGCTCTTGGAAGTTGTGCACTTTGGTTGGGTTTAAGTATTAGCTGAATGCAGAGCTCACCTATTGGCTTCACTTCAGATCCATTTCCATTTTATTGCTTATTGCTCGCCTTTTAATGTCCTTAAAAGCTGCGGCGTGTTTGGAATATTAAATGGATGGAGGCATAAATTCAGTTTCCCTTTATCTGAGGTTAAAGAAGGTCAGTGTGGAGCACTTATTAATATTAAGGAGATTACACCTACATCATTTAGTGAATGGTCCACAAGGTAAATAAAATAATGGTGTTAATTGGAGCTTTGTACTATATATGGGTACGTTTGTTTGAGCCAAGTTTAGTCCTGAATCTGATCTAGACTTGGTTTGGTGCTGTTCTGGTCCTGGTTTAGTCCTCATCTAGTACAGGTTTAGTCTGGATTTAATCCAAGTTTGACTGGCTGGCCCACCAAAACCACACAATAGGAGGGTTTCAGTCACGTGATCAACGATGATGCACGAATTTCAGGTGGAGGGGAGGAAGTGAAGACAAACACAACAAACATGGCTCTGGAGAATACAGATATGGAGAAGAGTTCTTATTGTAAGGATTTAGAGCCAGTAGCAAGGCAAAAGTACGAGCAGTTAGTCGACAAATATATTGGTCATGACCTCTGTCTTATGAAAATGAGTGAATTTTCGACTGAAGTAAATGATTTGCTGACAATCGAGGCAGTAGATATCACAAACTATCTAGTTCTCCAGACATCGTTCTACACCAGACAACAGATGAAGGTGCACAAAGGTTTTGGAGGGATATAATAGGGCTGGGCGATATGGATCAAAAAATATATCTCGATATATTTTGCTATATCTCGAAATACGATATATATCTCGATATCTGTACAGGAAAAAATAACCCCCTAAAACGGAAAACTGCAAAAACAAATATGTAAAATTCCACAAGGTCCTTTTTTTAAAAATGAAAGTGTAAGAGGTCGGCAGTTCATATAGGAACATTTAAGATTACAAAAAACCCTAATTACATAAATAATAATTTAACTGTCAAATAAAAGAAATAAAACAAATTTCCTTTGTTTCATTCATAAATAAAACAACTCAACACAAGCTCATCTTTGCATTAACTCTGTTATCCAAACCAGAACCATAACCATGAGCTGCTTAAGCAGAGGAAGCTCAGGATGTTCCTTATTTTAACAGATCCATGTTCCTATCCAGCAGTAAAGAGCTATGAGGTTTCCCACAATCCACTGCAGATCAAACCCAACGTTTCCAAACACTTTTGTACAAGTGACACTGCAACAGATTATTAATTAAAATCTTCTGCATAAATAGAATTTACATTATTAAACTTTACAAGATATATAGCATAACGACTCAAGAGCCACATCAGCCCGTTTGAGATTATAGTGTTAATTATTTTATTTTATTTATTTTATTGTATTTGCAGCTTTGCGCAGACTTGTTTACGTTTTACAGAAACGAAACTTAAAAAGCGCATGGCTAATTTGCATAAACAGCGCTCTCCACG